GCTTGCCAAACCGTATCACTTCAACATGAAAATAGGTTACTTTCCATCGACAAGTCCAAAACTATCGGCATTCACCACGAACTGGAGGGAACATATCTCGGTCTGGAGAGAATGAATTTACTTCAAATTTTCAGCATTTGTAGCTAACATCATGACAATGTTTTTATGTAAGTTTGTTCTTGCGGCACGACTCCTTTGTGGGAGGGCTTACTGATTTCTTTAAAAAAGGATAGTGTACCATTTCCCACAGAAAATCATTACCCCACACAATTTTTCCGAAAGAATATCTACTATTATACAACAATTTTGGCGTAGGAGCCCTAATCCCAGTGGAGATCGCTGACGAGATATCGTTCAACTCCATATATCAGAAAAATCAATGAATAAGGACAGATTCAATATATATATTTGGAGAGAGAGAGATATCGCACATGCGGAGGATGGCCGGAGGGCGAGCGAAGAGACAAGTGTATCTTTATTTCGCCCTCACGCCTCAGCTAATGCAATGCCCCTGGAAGCCGGCGATGCCCGACCGCAGCCGCGCTTTCGCTCGGCTCGCGGTCTGTCCTTTCCCTTGTGTGAAGGTTCTGTCTTGACGACTTCCAATGGACTAGTGTGTGTGTGTGTGTGTGTGTGTGTGGTAACGGTTTTGGCTGGGAAATGGTACGATTTCACTTTTTTAATGATATTCGTAACTGCTGCCTTGTGGAGATTTGACTACACCGCTGAAAACTAGTGTTTGTGAAAAGTCAGAATTTCACGTAGGTTATTCGACCTTTTTTAGGGTGGATTCGCTCAGGAAGATGTTCCAATATGGTTTACTATGTTCCAAGTAGAACTCTACGAGACCTACAAGATGCCGTTCTCCGTTTCTTGATGATGGAGAAAAAACAGAAAATACATGTTTTTCTCCCATGGGATAAAAAAAAAAGTATTCGAAGGATTATTAGAACAAACGGAAAAACAGAACAGATTAAGTATGCAAAGCTGATTGTACAACTGCGGAGAAAGAGAAGAATGATGAATAATACTTCGTCGTATCGATGAATAGTTCTTTTGGAGAGTAAAGAACTGAAAAGAAAAACGGTTCTCTAATCATTCTCTTAAATTAACATTTATTTTCTGACGGACTTCTCATTTTGAAAAAGGTAAGAATATTCATCCTCTCTTTTCATTCTGTTAGATACGTTCACCTACATTTCAGCGCATGTGTGAGTGAATCGTATTATACTTGTACAATTACTGATCTAAGAATATCTTCATTCTAAATCCATCCGATTTTCTAGCTTCATTCGCTGAACTGCCTACTACTTTCACAAACAATTGTAGTTTTTTTCCTTCCTATCTGGCTGAGTTATAACCCAGGTCCACGCTCGCGCCCTGGTCGCGGCGCGTGCGCGATGTCGCGCAAGCGATCGCTATGAACTCCCATTTTCGCGGCACGATCGCTATTAAGTCGCGAAGTCTCTGCGGGATCTTGAAAAATTCTTATCTAGAGAGAAGAGGAATCTTTTAGAGTCGTGGTAAGTTCGCGATGTCGCGGCGCGACTCTTGTGATCGCGAATTTCAATAGACGTACTCTGCTGACTAAGCCAGTCTTTTGAAGAAAAGCTTGTTGCAGCAAGAGTCGTAGTTACACCAGATTTTTTTCTGAATTCTTAAACTCGCGCCGTGATTTTGGCCTAATCTTATTTTTAAAAAAATCTCATTTTAAAAAAATTTTTGATTCACTGTTCGATTAATGTATATTATCGCGGCACGATTCGCGATATGGCGAGTCGCGCCGAGACAATCACAGATATATAAACAGTAGTATTTGCGTAGTAGCGAGTTGTATCGCTGAGTTGCGGTCTAAGTAGAGGAGTTTTAATACTTCGCGGCGCGAGTCTTAATTGTTCCGTGTTATACGTTATATTATCTTTCTGAACTTATATAACACACATAGTGAGAATAAGGGAGGGGCTCCCGTCTACAGTCTCTAGTCTGTTGATGTGGTCGAACCACCGCAACCGGTTACGGCGTATCAGATCTTCGATGGGTGGTTGACCGGTGAGCTCTTTTCACCAGATATACTGTTCTGAAATAACTATGTACTCGTTACATGCATCATGTTTCGAAGAGTAAGCCGGTAAAACATGGTGCACTTAAGTGCCAAACTGGATGCTGACAAAGTATCTTTCCTCCCTGAAATACAAACCTCTGTTATTACTCTTTTTCTGATGCTTATCTTCTGTTTTGTGACTTTACTGTGATTTATCGTAAGTAATGTTGAATGAACATGTAGCAAAGAAGAAAAACTGGTATAGTCGATGCAGCTTTATCACAAGGCTGAATGATACTGCAGGCAAGAAAGCAACACTGTATACATTGAGGTCTGGAATGATCTGAAGAAGCTATTTTCGATCGAATAAATTTAAGGAGATGTCCTCGGAGAGATTCAAATCTTGAAAGCAGAAATAAGAGGTCGCACTCCTCTTAAAACACTGTAGGCAATTTCTGTCTCTGGAAAACTGTGAAACGAGGAAAAAATAGGATAAAAGCAGGAGTAGAAATAATCTGACGCGACTATGCACGACTCGTGCAGAAACTTATCGCAACTATGCACGATTCTTGTAGAATCGGTCTGCATAATAGGATTTGCAACGCGACTTATCGCGACTTTTGCTAACTCGTGTCGCGATTGTAAAAATAACGCAAGACTCGCGCCGCAAGAACACGATTTTCTTATCTAACTACCAAGATCTTGTCGTGAGAATCACTATAGCAAGACTCTATAGCCATCGCTAAAAGCGCGTCTCACTTCGTGAGTACAAAAGCGATCGCGTAGCGCGTGCGCGCTGCGCTGTTTTAGCGCGAGTCGTGCCGCGATTTTCGCAGGAAAATCGACCTTGGACGCCTTCGAAGTTGGAAAAATACATTTTTTCGATGAGTCGTTCTATAAAAAGCTAGATTTTATAGGTAAAGACAGAATACTAAGAAAAAGTAGTTACTGCATTTTGTAGAGCGTTCAGTCCTCTATCGATCCGTATAACTCACTTTTTCGTTTACTCACCTTGAATTATTTTTTTTCCACCAGTTTACGTTTTTCGCACAGTGTGTATGGAAACAATAAATTGCACGTAGACGCTTCAGTCAATGTTTTAACGAACAAAGTTAAGATCAAATACTTGATATTCACCAGTGATAAACCAGCAGTATTTCTCTGGGTCAGCACAGCCGTAATCTAATATCTCTGTCTCTTTTTCCCGTTGTAGGTGTATCTCTTCCGAGGGTCTTCATTCATGGGTATATCTTTAACTTTTCTCTTTTAGACGTCTAGAACGAAGGCTTACAAGGGGCTCAATTACTATATCTTAACACCTTTTCCACTTCGTTAATGAACTTCGAGACGAATTACCATACACCAAAGCTCGTTCTAGTAGATAAACAATACAAAGCTGTTTGTCAAATTGGTGATATGGGAACATTCAGCGATAGGTTTTTATTAGCATTCATAGAACCGCATCCAAAATGGGGAAACCAATTCATGACCAAACACTTTCAGTTCGTTGATGTTAATACAGTCAGATGGGGCTATGAGAATCGTGTCTTTAACTTGGAGATTATTGAAGATACAGATGGATTAGTTGAGAAATATGGTGGTAAGTAAGGGCTATCTTCAGCCTAATTTCTTGTTTTTATACCATAGAATTTTTTCTGTTAATTGTATAGGTTCCCGGTGAGATTCATCTTCCAGTATGATTCTATACCAAAAAATCTACAACCACAACTATATTGTGCACCAGTGACTAACGTTGAAGACGTGTTTTGTTTTACATGAGGATTTTACAATTCCGTAATTCAGTTCTCCATAAAATAAGATGCTGGGTAGGTTTCTCCGGTCGTGAACACCCGAGTTACAAGCCTTTTAACAGTATGAAGATTAATTCAATCGCGTTAATGTCGTTTTGGATCTGTATCGTATTTTCTATACTACTGTTTGACACAACATCGTAAAAGCTTGGCCAGCGTCTTATTTTATGCAGAATTGAAGGGACTATCTAATGATATGGTTGAAAGGCTTCTGAAAGAAATTTTAAGCTCACTAGGTTTTATAGAATACCGAGTTTTTCAGAAATCTCAAGACTGCGACGTGTAGCATAACTTTTCTCTGTCGAAACATATCGAACTCGATATGCTCCTTGATTTGATACCAATTTCAAGATTCTGTGTTAGGGAATGTGGTCAGCAGACGTTTTACAAGTTATGCCAAATCCGTCGGAAAATGATGAAAATGCAGTTTTCTGCTGCGATGGTAAACTGGCTATAGCTTCTTTTCCAACAAGGCAGGAGGCTTGCAGTTGTCACCATTCGGTTCAGGTTGCTGAGCTCTATAATATGTGGTGGGTCTCGTCACTGACGTCAAAGAGCGATGTATATGGTTGTCGGTTTTATATCGATTTAGCCTATCCATCGATGCCGAAAACATCACTCTCCAGTAGTATTTCTAGTGTTAGAACACCCAGACCCCATTTGTTCTCAATATTATATATTCACTCTGCACATAATTGTTTCAAATCATATCACACGAAAAGTTGAAGATTTCGACTTTAATAGATCGAAAACTAAGGCAACAATATGTGTGTTATTGACCCAAAATTCTTTTTTTTGTATCTAACTGTTCCGCATTCAAACTGATGAAAATATAACTGAATGAATGTCATTTTCCGCAAATTGAACACTCCATCGTCAAAGGAAAAAAGTTGGATTTTTTCATGTCATTCCCTCTCCATTTCTCTTCGAATCACAACCATTTCCGAAAGAGAAGTAGGGAGCGCACAGACATTAGAACTACTCTCTACGGCTGATTATCTCCCCTTGTGCGAGTCGCAAATGCTGACAGACAACGCATATAGATAAGACCCGATCCCCAACGATAACAGCAAGATCGAAGAAAAAATGTACCATCATCAACATCAGTGTTCTATCTGTTCTTCCTCCCCCACCTGCACACGATCAAACGGGTAACCTATCCATCGAAAAAAATGATTGGCAGAATGAAGGGAAAATGGAACGCGCTGGTCTATAAGCCATGCTCGAAATCACCGACGATTTTTCTCGAGGACGATCGATACGAGGCACGATTCTTCAAAACTTACAATTATTCGGTGCTAATTACTTGATCAATTGGAATAAAAAAATGCTCTCAATGGAGAAAAGTCGGCTCGTTGATGACACGATTTCGCGATGAAGACGCCGGCAGACTGCTGATGGCTCAATTCGAAAAATACTTCGAATTTCTTGTCTTTCCCAATCACTACGATATGTAAGTGTTCTCCGATGATGTACCCGATGCCATCTATCTCTTGAGTCTCGTCGCCAAAGATCACAACCTTTTAAAAATAAGCAAAGGTTGAACTTCATGAGAACTTCGTTTGCACAATTGTATCGAACATTGTTTTGTTGTGTGTCCTTTGAATAATCATTTAACTGACCTTTGTAACACA